AAAAAATAAATAACCAAATAGTTTGATAGTTTAAAGTTGAAGAAAACTATAGAGAATAAAAAAAGAAAAAAGAAGAAGAATAAACTAAAAAAAAAAAAAAAAGGCAATTGAAATTACTTGCTGGGGACTCATGGGGGAAGCTTCTTTCTGTGAGGTAGATTATCAATTTTCACTTTATTTCATTACTTACATGGTGGAAGCTTGTCATTCTTTGGGGCTATGCATTGTAAAATTCCCTGCTTATTGATAGAAGGAGGAGAAGAATCACTTCTTAAAACAATTGATTTTGGTTTATCCATATTCTTGGAGCTATTTTCCAATGCTATATGTTTTTTGTGATTATAGTTAAGATTTTGTCATTGACAGAAAAAAAAAACTCTCCTAACTGTATGGAGAGATTTTCTTTATTTTTTTAATCGGTATCATTACTTGATAAGTGTGCATTTGTTTTCTTTTCTTTGATCCATTTTTTTATATACAGTTATGTTTAGTTTATTTATATAGAATGTTTTAAAAAAATAATCATTAATAATAATTATTAAGCTAATAAAAAATACACTAAAAAAAGTATACAAATCAAATTTCTCAAAAAAATTAGTAACAAAAAAGTAAACAAAATGCATTTACCTATTTTTAGTTTCGTTTTATTTACTAATTTAAATGAACAAAAAAGATTAAAAATGTTTAGCGGAGTGTGTGGAGTCTCCACACAATTTTTGTATAGAGACTCTGCACTGTGCGGAGTTCGCACTTGTGTGGAGTCTCCGCACAATTTGTGTAGAGACTCCGCACAAAAATGTGCAGACTCCGTATAGTTTGTGTTGAGGCTGATGGGGTATTAGTAAGTATTTTTTGTATGGTAGTTATAAAGTTAACTATATTTTTTGGAAATTAATTATTGACTTGTGAAATTTCTAGAACTACTACTGCACTCTTGTTTACTTTATACAATGCATAGAATATCTCTATTTAATCTTAAATTTATATCATATAGTCATGGTTAACTAAATGTAATGTAAGGTTAGTCTAGAGAATTTTGAGGCTTCCGCACTATGCGGAGTCTTCGCACAAATGTGCGAAGTCTCCGCACTTCTCTGCACAATTTGTGCAAAGACTCCGTATTGTGCGGAGTTCGCACTTTTGCGATGCGGAGACTCCACACAGAATGTGCGATCGCACATTTTGTGCAGAGTCTCCGCACAATTTGTGGAGACTCCATACTGTGCGGAGTTCGCACTTGTGCAGAGACTCCGCACAAATTGTACAATTTGTGAGGAGACTAATATTTGTTTATTTTGTTAGTTAAAAATATGCATTAAATTTAATAAAAAATATAACTACAAGAACTTTAATATAATACCACAAAAAAAATCCCAAAAATTAAAAAGGAAAGAATCATTGCTAAACAACAAAAACATCTAAACATAATGGAAAAGATAAAAAATAAAAAAGTAAAACCTATAAAGAGGGAAAGGAACAACAAAAGGAAAATGTAAAAAATTAACAACAATTATTGTTCAAACGCGAAATTATTGATTGTACTATACATACAAATAATTGAAATGTAAAAACTTTTGAAGTTGGTTTTTTCCAAAAACACTCACATGGTTTACTATTTGATCTAATTCTTTACCAAATTAGCAGTTGAAGAGTATAGATTCATTATTTGGTGTTGAAATTTTTTTAAACAATCATAATAAGTCTTCTTGTCACACTATATATATATATATATATATATATATATATATATAACAATTAGCATAAAAAAGTAAAATCAATTTCATCTTCAACAAAAAACACATTTAAAAATTCAATTTCATAACCGCCTTTTTTTCATTTTTTTATTCTCAAAATACAAAATTGTAAGTTTTCTTTTACTCACGTTTCCATAATTTTAAATTCCCTTTTTCACTAATTTTTATTTTACCTTTTTAGTATGTACCAAGATTCAGTAAAAACATCTACCCAAATTTAGAATCCATGACTTTTCACAAAACCTGTTTGAGCGTTTGACCTGCTATAACGAACTCCCAATGTTGATGGTACACAACGTATGGGATAATGATTCTCTATAAATTACTGTTATTATGTAATAAACTTTGTGCTCTATCTTTAATTTTCCAATGCAAGTATTTTCCAACTTATTTGGAGTTACACAAGATTTTCAGGTTCAACTCAATCATATCAATACTGTCAAACACTTTCAAACATTAAATGTCAACAATACAAGCAAAATAGTTTTTACAAACCTCATATATTTCTTATTCAACAAAATATTGTTATACAATTGTAAAAATAATTTGCAATTATTTTCGTAGATCATGGAAACATTTCTAGATATTGCTTCAAAAACATTGTAAAAGACTAAAATCCATACCCTAATAAAAGTATGATAAATACAAAATTCGTACAAGGCACATGACAGTTACTAGTCTCGTAATTGATTGGATCATATTGATGAATGAATTATAGTTTTACGGTAAACGAACAAGTTTGATTTTATTATAACACGTGACATTTCGCATCACATGTATTGCTCTGACATATTGCTAGATGTGAATATGGAACAACGAATGAGAATTGATTAATTTATGTCGTTAAGTATCGTGATTGAAAACCTGATGAGTCGCACACAAAAAGAGAACTAGAAGATTGTAATTTATCAATTAATTAATTTAACATGTGTTTGATAAATTAATTAATTGTGTTGCTTATTTATATGCCCGAATTAGTTAATTAGATTAATTAATTCATGGACCAAATTTAATTAAATGTGTTAATTAAATACTGGGTCAGGATAGTAAACATGCCAAATCTGTTTGGACTTATATAAATAAGTAGCAAGGGTTAGAAAACTGTAGAGAATTTTCATTCCTCTTGCTAGCACAAGATAAGTAAACCTTAGGTTCCGTTTGATTGCAAAGATGGAATTGAATTGTCTAGAAAACGAATTTCAGGGAATTGAATTGCCTAGAATTGTTTTCCCGAGAATTGTAAATTATTGTGTTTGATTGGTATAATTTTTCACGTGGAAAATATTGAAATAAAAGTATTTTTTGGTATTCGTTTGGTTTTGTTTTATATGAAAATTGTCAATTAAAGAGATAGATTTTACTATTATTGGAGATTAAATTTGTATCCATTGCCAACAAAAAAAAATAAAAAAATTTAAGAAAATCATCTATCTTTTGGTGTTCGTTTGATTTTGTTTTACATGAAAATTGTTATTTAAAGGGAAATATTTTTTTTACAATAATTCTTAGAATTTGTTTCCATTGCAAAAAAAAAAAAAAAAAAAAAAAAATTTAAAAAAAGTAGGAAAACCAACAAAAATTTCAAATTTCAAGACAACCTAGAATTCGAATTCCATGAAAAAAAATTGTATCAACCACCTAAAGTAGGAAAATTCAATTCCAATTCCATTTTTCAATTCCATTTCCATCCTATCAAACACATCCTTAGTTCTTTTTACAATCTTGTTCTCTGTTTCAAATTTTATTGGAAGCTGAACAATTGAACAACTGTGAGTGGTAAATCAAGATTGTTCAGACGAAAAAAAAAACAAATGAGTTTGCAAAATCAAAGAAATGTATAATTTCTATTATAGTTTATGTCTAAACACGAAACAGATCCTACATGAAAATTGAACTTATAATTAAGTAGATTCTCAACATCTATCTAGTTGCATGTACTAAATAAATCTTGAGATGGTCAATACTCTTTTTTGTTTAAATTTGCAAGTCATTTTTGCATTGATATTCAATGCTTTGGTTAAAAGTCCTAATCACACAGAATAAATTCTTGTCACCGTAGTCTATCATATGAATGTATATTTAATGCATAATAATTTTTTCCATTGCGAAAATAACTGAATTATGGCACAAAGCGGAATGCAAAATAGACACTTCTTTGTATTTTCTCTATTGAGTTTATCTTTTAGAATGAGATAATATTCTATTTATTTGTTATATTCCATTGGGTTCGTATATCTTTTTATATGGACAAATTCTCAGCACTTGTAACGTTATATCACCTACTTTCAAAAGCCAAAAACTAATTGAAAATGTATTTGTGAATTTTTTTTTTTTTAACGAGGTGTTTCAGTTTACGCCAGACTATATCCTCGTCCCTGAATTTCCGGCCCCTCAGCAGCTCAGGGAGGTAAATCGCGGGATGTGTCCAAATTGACCAGGATTCGAACAGCCTTTATACTCATGGCCCCAAGGGAGCCTCCTCCATGATTATTACATCACCAAACTGCTCCAACCCTTCCTCTGGTTATTACAACACTCAGCTGCTTCAATCAGGAATCGAACTCCCCACACTGGAGTTACGAGTCCTGCACTGTCCTTCCTTTGTCAACTTGGATGTGCCCCGGGGGCATGTATTTGTGAAATATTAATATTATTTTAATGGGTAAAAGTGTTGAAAGTTGATTGCTTATTTCAATTTGCTTGCTTATTGATAAATTTAACAATAGCTTGGCAATGTTCTTTATTCCGATTATGACAAATTTTGATATATTAATCTTGATAACACTTTTTTCTATTAATTGTCAGATTTTTGACAAATAGAGAGATGTCAATTAAGGCGTACAGTTTGCGTACAAGTAATTTAATCCTTTTCGGAAAAAGAGGATCAATTTAACATAGATATCAATTTACGAAGGTATTCTCTTTGACAGAAAAAATGAAATATATACAATATTATGGCCTCGTTTGGTTGCCATTTTTTTCAAAATGCATTTTTGTCTCTCTTCTTTTCAATCACACATTCTTTATTAAAATAACATTACACGTAAATAAAAATTTTTTCCTTATTTCTCAACCACACATTTCACATCAATTTACTATTCTAAAATACATTTTTATATAAAAAAGCCTATCAAACACCTATACTTTTAATTGGACCATGATATCCTGAGCCTAGGTTATGGACTGGTCCTTCATATGGGCCAGGCCCATAGGCACTCCCACTCGTTAACCGCCATTGAATTGGAACTGTAGAATTGCGCGCGACACCCCGAGGCACGAAGCCCCTCGCCCCTCCCCATACCCCCAACGTCACCGCACTCCACTCCTTTTTCTCTCGCTCTCCTCCTGAACGCTCAGAGCACGAGTTTCTGTCAATCGAAAATGCGAACCAGAAACCAGTCCAGGAGACTCCATCAATCCACCGGTATGTTCCGCAATCTCGCACAATCACATTTCACAAAGTACACACAGACACGCTTCATCTTCCTCTCATCACTTTTGGGAAATTACTTCTTTCCCAAGCCAATTTTTCATTTAGAAACATTTTATTAAGATGAAACGTCTAATTTTTTTAATCCATTTCCTAATTTTTCTAATTTTTCTTGTAGTGAGAAGTTAATCTACGTGAAATTGAATTATGGTTTAGAGTAAAGTCGATAATTTACCTGCAAATTCGCACAATATCTAGTTTTAAGTTGAGTTAGTGTTACAAATAGATATGGTTAATTAGATGAACTACTAAAATCACCGACTTTGCTCTTTAATTTTGACTTGATAATTAGGGCTCGAAAATCTTAACATTGTTATATGTTTCTGCACCTTGCATGTGTAGGTGAGCAAGAATCAACTAAACATCATCGTGAATCAGAGAACATCAATGATAATGGTTAGTTTATTGCTGCATTTCATTGTGGATATAATGCTTTTGGTGCATAGCATAGCTAATGTCAGTATTTGGTTTCAGAAACTCTTGCAAATGTATCTCGAGATGCTGTGGGGAAACTCTTGAAAAGAGTTAAAAGGGGGTTTAATAAAGAAGATAGTAGTTACCTACGTCGATGTGATTCAGTAGCCAAGGTAAATACACCTTCTGCTCAATCTTTATTTGATATCTATAGCGATTTCTTATTATTTCTTGTAAGTCTCCTTTAAAGTATGTCCTTACATGTTATTTTTTGATACTTATTGCCTAATGTTACATTATGTGATTGGGTCTCTAGTGATAACTGTGGAAACACTATTGTTGACAGGGATTATTTAGGTTCTCCAATCAATACACATTTGGGCTATTCTAATATTTTTGGGACCCCTTTGTTTCCTTTGCAGCCACAGAGAGAACAGAAAGGGAATGATGACAAATCTACAGGTACTGCAGCAGCAAGTGATACGAGAGAAACTGAATCTTGTAGTAGAGATGCAATTGATAATATTCCATCAGAAGTGAAAGTTGAGGACGGTAAGTATTCTAAGCAAGAAAATGAGGATGAAATTGATGATCCTGATTGGGAGGATGGATCAATTCCAGCATCACATTCCACAGAAAATAATCAAGAAGAATTGATCAATGGAATGACTGTTGAGTTTGATGTTTCACCTGGCTCTGCAAAGCAGAAGGCAGTAAGACGGGCGACTGCTGAAGAGAAGGTAAATGAGGATTATGGTTGAAGTACAGCTCTTATTGCCTTTTCAGATATTGATTCTTCTACCTCCTGCATTTCTGTTCTGAAATGTTGATCATATTTTAATGACAGGAAGTGGCTGAGCTTGTCCACAAGGCTCATTTGCTTTGTCTACTAGGGAGGGGAAGGTTGATTGATAGCGCTTGTAATGATACCCTCATTCAGGTCAGTTTGCTGTTTCACCATGGTTATTCTTTCTTGAAACATGGGATAATTGCATTACTCAAATTAGGAAATGTTGGATATGCTTCGTATGAAGTGTTAAAAGGAATGCATGGTTGTGGTACTATCCCTAAGCGTAATTGTGCTTTATGAGCTAGCTGTTACATTATTCTTCTCTTTTTAATAGTTTTACGATTTTACGATTAACCAGTGTTTGCATGTCTCTGTGTGTGTGTGTGTGTGTGAGAGAGAGAGAGAGAGAGAGAGAGAGAGAGAGAGAGATTCATTCCTGGATGCATTGCAGTTACACTATGCTTAACGTGCTATTATTGCGTTCCTTGACAACTTTGAATCCTGATCTGGTCATAGTTTATGGGGTTAAAAGGCTTATGAGTTATGATTGAAGAATGCAATATGCATCAAGGTCATATGTGTCAAGCTCACACTTGGAAAATAGACCTGCTTTACTAATAGATTAGGGCTTACGTTGAATGTCAACCTGTTGGAGGTGTGCTAGGGCATTAAAAATGGGTGGCACCATATGGTTTATATTATGGAAGAAGCTAATGTATATCAAATTACTCTGTGGGTTCTTAAAAGCCAAGATTTTCCGCATTTGATGACTATTCTCAATCATGTACTCCTGAATATTTTCCTTTTTTATTTAGAGTACCCTGGCATGGTTCGAAAATATCCCAAGTTTTGAGTCTGATTGTAAAATGCATTTTATAACTATTGTTTTTTAATTTTTCTTTAACGATTTGCTAGCTGTCACAGTTCATGTGTGCCATTTTTTATTTTTGTGTATTTAGTATGCTGAGTATAACATTTCTGTCCAAGCATGCAGTAAATGGCTTGTGCTGTATTGTTGAACCATGAACAGGTCCTTTTTTTGGCAATGTATAATGTACGTCAAGCCACTCACCTCTTCTTTCCAAGGTCTTTCTTTTTCGTATACCTCACTTTTTGGCTTTTCCCTACTACCTTCAAGCTTCTTTGAGCTGCTTTTGTGCATGTTAATACCTTATTACCTAAGAACTATGCCTTTCTTCTATTAAAAATATTAGCTGTTTCAGGTTATTGAGTTTCCTGCACTTTATTTGGTCCTCTTTCTCTTTCTCTGTTAGATGGAGAGAAGGATAATGATGAATATTACTTTGGATAGGAGCATAAAAATGTTCGTTAGTTTAAGGAAATTTAAATCATGGCAGGCTTCTCTACTTTCTCTCCTGCCCACGGACTTGCTGAAGATGACAGAGATACCAGTACTTACCGCTACCTGTTTGACTCCAATTGTCCGTTGGGTATGAACGCCTTATTTTTGCTTGTACTTTTCACTTTACCCATGGAGGAGTCGTTCTGAATGTCGTACTTGATCATGAATTAGACTGGATACATGATGCTTTTCTGCTTATTGGCAGTTTCACAATAATTTCCATGTTAGAAGTCCAAGTGATGCTGAGAAGTCATGTCATTTAGCATTAGCATCTGCTTTGGAGACTCGAGAGGGGACAGCAGAAGAGGTATAACTGGACTTGCTTATTCTGCAATTATGACGATTTGAATGTTAAATTTCATGAAAGAAAACTTGTACTCCTGAATTTGGCAGTTACTTGTATGATTGAGCAATAGAATTTGTTCAACCTAGCAACCACAGGTACTCTTGATATCTCGCTGACAAAAAGGGAGGATATATAGGTGGTAAGACCATAAGTTTAACATTACAAGGTAGACTCTAGTTATTTTAGGCCTGTAAATTCAGAAGATACCAAAATTGGATATTTAGAAGTTTTTAACTATAGATATAGAGTAGAGTTAAATGATGTATAGAGAGAGCAACAACATTATCAGAGATATCTTTGTTTTTGCGATTACATTACAATCTTTGTTTGCTACTCCTCGCCTCCTAAAGTGATGAAGTGAATTCTTTGCATAGCCATTGTTGTTCGCTGCACTATATCATTCTCACCATATATAAAGAGCATTTCTGTCGCCCATACTTGGGCCACATTTTTCACGAAAGGAGTGTGTTGTGGGAGCTAATGCTTCCAACTTGACTTACTAGCTTTGAGTTTTTATATTACAGCTCTAATCATGTATTCTTATCTATTGACAGTTTAGAGTAGAATATAGAAGGCGGACTCACGCATGTGTTGCTTGTAAATGAAAACATTAAAAAATGTGATTACTCTAGAAGAAGAAATGGGATGAGAGACGAAAGAGGGACCAAGTTGACTCTAGGTGCTTAGTCCCTTAAAAAGGTTATAGATGTTGACTTGTTCGAGTCCTTTTCCTTTCAGCTTTTCTTCTATTAACTATCCGTAAAACCCAAAGATTGGCTGCCCTTGTTATTTATAACATTTTGAAACATAATAATGACAGTCAAATGAATATGGTAGAGATGTCTGTAAAGTGTACATAGATTAGTAAATTAATACCATATTAAAAAGTTAATTTCTGGTGACAATTTTGGCTTTTTTTCCTGCTATAATTTTAGTGATGAACTTATGTAATGCAGGACTTTAGATTCCATGGGGAACAAGAAATAAGGATCTAATAATGCTCATTGTGCGCAGTAGATGGATACATTTAAAGAATCTGATGATGAAATATTTCATAGAGATATATGTAGCACAGAGTACAAGTTGCATGTCTAGTTTAACTACTTAGTTAATGTTATTCATTGGAGCAGATGAATAATGTTTTTTTATCTATTTCATCTCACAAGAGACTTCTTTGGGGGCCAACCAAGTTAGAGCAAAAGTGAGGAATTTCATATGGTGGTATTTTGTCAAAGAATTGAATGAACTGGCATCAGATATTATGTTTTGATAGTCGAAATAAAGGCTTACTTGTATTGCAGGTTGCAGCATTATCTGTGGCACTATTTAGGGCGATGAATCTCACAACTCGGTAAGGCATTTTTATAAAACAGAAAATGGTAACTGCACCACTATTTCGTTTCAGCATTCATCCTAATGTTATCTTTTGTTGTTTCTACTAGGTGATGATAGATCTTGAAAAGTTCATCACCAAAATCATCTTTCCCATATTATGCATCTCTTTTAAATTTGTCCCCGTTGGCTTAATACAACTTGATCTGTATATTATATCTTGCCTGGTGGTATTTTCATCTGTCCACGGAGTTTTGAGCTGAATGTGTTCATTTCCATCTGACATCACCTTCCTTCTTTCCAACAGAGGAAAATAGAGAAAAAAGCCACTGTAGATAAAAAGAAAAAACAGAAAAGGAGAATTGAGAGAAATAATAACTGTATTCAGTTTGTTGTCACAGTTGGACATCTTTACCTACTAAATCGAGATGACTAATTTCCATAGTTGCAAAATGCTTATCTTTACCTGCTGTTTAATTGATCATTGCATTTTTACATTCTGACCCACCTTCTGCAATACACTTTAGGTATGTGTGTGATTTTATTGCTACTAAATGAATATCTAAGCTGTTTCTCCTCAAGACTTCTATGGTCGTATAGAAATTCATTCTGCTCCATATGAATCTATCCATAAAGATTAACTCCTGCTGATAATGTGTACTGGACAATTTTAAATATATTCATTAACACCTATTTGTAGGGGTAGGACTTGCTGGTTCTTTGATGTAACTGTATTTCCAATACTTCTTTTGTATATATTAGCGTGCTTCCCCATAGACACGTTATACCAATGGAATGATTTGACTTTTGCCTCTGATATTTAGGAGTTAGGACACACAATCTTAGCTTCTCTGTAAAATTTCCACACTACTATGATCTCCAAGGATTTTTTTGTTCTCTTAAGAATGCTTGGCCTCAATTATTTTCGTCTTTCATTAAATCATGATTTTGGTGGTAAATTATTTTGAGGTTAAGAAAATGTGTGGTGACTAAAGAATGCTGGTAAACAGGCTATAATAAGCAACTGGTTATATAAAAAGTTGAGAATATTTCTGGGGCCTTAGTAGCAATGTAGCATTCAGTAAGAATTAAGGAGGAAAAATAAACGAGCTTTCATAAGCAACTGGTTCCATAAAAAGGTTAGAACATTACTGGGCATTACTATTGTTTAGTAAGAATTAAAAAGTCCGATGATGAATTTGCTGTCATGGACGGTGGCCCTTCAAACTAACCTTTTGCAAGATACCTGGCTACATGGTTTACCTAACTGAAACTGTAGGTGATGGAGTTGCAGATGCTATGCCACTATATATATCATTGTCTTTTGACCTCTGTTAGGTCATAATATCATTTGACTACGTGGTTTGCTTGAGGTGGTACATAATAAAAAAATTTGAAATGCTGTGATGATCGAGTATAGACAGTAAAGTTTTGTTCTTAAGATGGACGTGTCCTTGTCTAATTATAAATTAATGAGCTTGTTCCTTGCGTCCTGCATGTGTTCCTAGACACATGGGCTTATTTTTATGTGATTTACTTTCTGTAAATCAGTTATGATATGGAAAACTGTTGAACAATGCTTTGGGAAAACTCCGATGTCATGAGTGTTTAGAATTGAAATGTCATTGTCCTTTCCAGGTTTGTCTCCATTTTAGATGTGGCCTCCATGAAGCCCGATGCTTACAAATGTTCATCCACAAATAGTGGTGTAAGCAAGGGGGGTAAAGGTATATTTAACTCATCAACTCTGATGGTGGCTGGACCAAGCTGTTTGTTTGATTCTCCTTCGAAGTTATCATCATTTGATGACATGCAGAAGGGTAGTCAATGTCCTGTAAGAGGTTCTGGTGAAAGCATGGCAGAGAAATCAATGAAGCATGAATTCCAGTCCCATGGTATTTTTGTCACTGACAAGTCCACAGATGGAAAATCAGACTCGTTTACTGAGGCCGGAACTGCTGCTTCTGTTCCAGACCTAATGGAATCTGAGGGATTGAAGAGAAAAGGAGATCTTGAATTTGAGATGCAGTTGAAAATCGCGCTCTCTGCCACTGCAATTGAAAGTTCTAAAAGCACCATGGCTCCCAGTGTGGTGGATTCACCTAGCAATTCTTCAACTATCACTCCCCCTTATAAAAGAATGAAGAAAATTATGACAGAAGGTTCTTCATCTTCGTCAAATGGAATATCTACGTCAATTGGATCAAAAAAGGTGGGAGCCCCACTTTATTGGGCCGAAGTTTTCTGTAATGGAGAGAACTTGACGGGAAAATGGGTGCATGTGGATGCTGTCAATGCTATTATTGATGGAGAGCAGAAAGTAGAAGCTGCAGCTTCTGCATGCAAAAAATCTTTGAGATATGTAGTTGCTTTTGCTGGACATGGAGCTAAGGATGTGACACGCAGGTTTCAAATTTTTGATCTTATATTTGCCATGTTATTCTGGTATATGGATTCTTTTCTTCTCAAATCTTCTCAAATATTTGATGTTATATTTGCCATGTATTTCTTCCCAATCAAAAGAAATTCGAGAAAGACAGTTATAAGCTTCCTGGAATGATGATAGTTCGTTCCTGGTTACTTCTGAGCATGATAGTATAATGATCCCTCTAGGAGCTCTGGCTACTTTAATTTAGTACCTCTCCTGTATGCTTTGTCTGGCAGTTTTGGCTAGTTCAATTTAGAACATTCCAGCGAACTAGTTTATTCAAAAACAAATTTTCTGATGACTAGCTCCATGCAGTGAACTATGTACATAAATATGAATTGTACTTAAAATACGCATGTGAAGATAGTGAATAAATTAATCAGGAATATGTTATTTTAGCTACAGAGAGGAGCAAGAGAATCCTAGTTACCTATTTATCCCACCCTACCTGGAATGAATGTTAACCAATGTAGAAAACCTATAATGGAAATTGTATCAATTATGGATTGTAATTTTAAGTTAATTGGTAGGGTGTTGTGTATGTGGCTTATATAGAGTGGAACACAAGTTTCCTAGATCAATACAGGGCTTTTTCTTTTTTTTTTTTTTTTAATACGGGCCTTATAGTCTTATATGGGCTCAGGCTAGGGTTAGTATAAATAATATATTGTAACCCTTCTTTTCACTACTAAATAATATTATCTCCGCTTCGCTCTCGTGGATGTAGGCACACAGCCAAATCACATAAATTCTTGTGTTGATTTCTCTATTTCATCTCTTTATTATTGTGCATAAAATCCAACACATGATGATTTATTTCCTTAATTTACAGATTGTGTTCCTTTTCTTTTCCTTCTTATGTAGTATAAATTGGATGTAAATATAGAAAACTCTCTGTCTATATGGTATCAGAGTCGAGGCTCTTCTAATCTACCAAATCCATAGCGGAATTCCCCAGCAATAGCAAGGAATCAACCACCTCTGAAACTTCCCACTTCGAAGCAGAGGCCAATCCCTCAATTGGCTCCAATGGTTTCAAGAATTCCTCCTTCCAACTTGCATTTGAAAATTTGAATGGGAGAAACTTGAGAATGGGTCCAATCCAAAATATTAGTAATTGGCGGCAAGGGGAAGGTGGGTTAACTTTTCGGCGAGGCACAAAAGCCAACTGGTACTACCCTTCTTCAAAAGTGGAAATCTGAAATTTTTTTATGGCACTATGGGGTCATCCCAGTTTTCCGTACTTCACACGTGTACTTCCCTCCATTTGCCTAAACAAAATCTCAAGCGGGTTTCAATGTGAAAGTCGTGAATTTGTAAAATATCAGCGTATAGTTTTTCCAAGCTCTACATACAAACCATCTAAACCATTTGCTATGATTCACATTGATTTATGGAGACCTTCCCGAAATCCTAATCGCACCCATAAAAAATGGTCCGTCACATTTATTAACGACTACACTTGGATATGCTGGCTATATCTTTTAAAAGAAAAACTGATGTTCGCTCAGTATTTATAAATTTTCACTCAATGATTCAAACACAATCTTGAACACGACTTTTAATCCTACACTCTAACAGCGGCACATAATACTTCAATACCACTCTACAAGATTACTTAAAAGGACATGGAATAGTTCATCAAAGTTCATGTATCAACACTCCTCAGCAAAATGAGAACAAAAAAAATAGACCTTAATGCTTACTACAAACATGCCGAAAACATTTTGGAGTGATGCAATTCTCACCTCTACATATCTCATCAACCGTATGCCAAGTCGTATCCTTTCCTTCGACACACTTATCCAAAGATTCCAAAAACACTTTCCTACTTCTAGTCTTACTTCAAATCTACATCTAAGAGTGTTTGGTAGTACTACCTTTGTACATGTTCACTCCCATTATTGTAACAAACTTTAACCATGTGCAATGAAGTATGTGCTCATTGGATACTCACCCACTCAAAAAGGCTACAAATGCTCTGATCTATCTACTAAAAGGGTCTTTGTTATCTTAGATGTAACCTTCTTCGATAACACACCTTCAAAAAACCTTCTCTTCAGGGGAACAATCTGAGTGGAGATTGGTTCTTGAAGCGAGAATTCTTTGATTTTGATCTTTTCCCTAATGATCTAAATATAGAACCCGTCACTTTACCTTCTAATGTGCGATATACAAAAGGAAACTTGAATTTAGGGGGAGATATTGAAAAACAAAGTGACAATAAGACACTAGTTTACACAAAGCCTAAATCGAAGCATAAGGAGATTCCCACACTTGAGGCATCAATAGAGTCTGAACCAGTGATTGGACCTATTGAGAATCCTTCCGATGAGTCTAAATCTCCAGGTAATGATCAATCTATTGCTCTTAAGAAAACAAACTTGATCATTTACTCTCCATCCTATTTCAAAATTCATTTTTTATAATGCTCTGTCTACTAGATTTTATGCTTTTATGGCTAACCTTGACAAAATAGAAATTCCAAGAAATATTTAGGAGGCCTTGGAATCACCCGTATGGAGAGAGACAATAATGGAGGAAATGAGAGTTCTAAAGAAAAATGAAACTTGAGAAGTGGTAAACCTACCGAAAGGAAGTAGGCCTGTGGGATGTAAATAGGTCTTCAATGTAAGTATAGACCGATGGTATAATAGAATGCTATAAAGCTCGTCTAGCTACCAAAGCGTACACACAAACCTATGGTATTAACTACAAAGAAATATTCGCACTGGTGACAAAACTAAATATAGTTCCTATTCTCGCCACTAGCAGTAAATCTAGACTGACCCCTTCAACAGCTAGACATCAAGAATGCATTCCTGAATGAAGAACTAGAAGAAGTCTATATGACAATACCTCATGCTTCAAAAACAAAAATGATGAAAATCAAGTGTGTAAATTCAAGAAATCTTTGTATGGTCTCCAACAGTCACCAAGGGCATGGTTCGATAGATTTGCAAAGGTATTGAAAACTCAAGGATACCAACAAGGACTGTCCAATCATATCATGTTCTTTCAACAATCTAGAGATGGGGCAAAGACAATCCTAATCGTATATGTTGATGATATAATCGTAACTGAGGATAACATGACCAAAATGGAAAGATTGAAATAGTGTTTAGCTACTGAATTTGAAGTGAAAGACCTGAGACAAATGCGGTATTTTTTAGGAATGGAGATTGTAAGATCAAAGAAGGGTATTAGTGTTTCCCAACGGAAATACATCCTTGATTTGTTGCGCGAAACTGGTACGTTAGGATGCAAACTAAATGATGCACCTATTGAGGTAGGAAAAACGATAAAGGATAAGGTCTCAGTGGAAACAGATAGATATCAAAGAATGGTTGGTAAGTTAATCTACTTCTCACACACGAGACCTGACATTGCATTAGCAGTAAGCATGGTTAGTATACTTATGAACACTCCCAAAGAGGCTCATCTAGAAGCAGTATACAAAATTTACAGATATCTCAAAGGCACCTCGGGGAAAGGATTACTCTTCGAAAAAATAAAAAGGAATAGAAATATTCACTGATGTAGACTGGATTGGGTCAATTGATGATAGAAGATCTACCACTGGCTATTGCACTTTCGTATGGGGAAATTTGATGAATTGGAGAAGCAATAAATAGAATGTTGTGGCTAGAAGCAGTACTGAAGCTGAATTTAGAGCCGTTACACAAGGAATATGTGAAGGTCTATGGTTAAAGAAACTTTTGGAGGAACTGATAGTTGAAGTAGAATTTCCAATCAAACTTTATTGTGATAATAAAGCATCTATCAATCTCTCTCAACCCAGTACAACATGACAGCTATAAACGTGTAGAAGTGGACTGGCATTTTGTTAAAGAGAAGGTGGATGATGAGATTATTAGTATGACGTATGTCCCTACAAAAGAACAAACTGTGGATATCTTTGCTGAAGGATTGTCTCGACACACTTTTGATGACCTTAACTGCAAGTTGTGAACATGATCAACAGCTACAATTCAACTTAAGGAGTGTAGAAAACCCAAAATGGAAATTGTATTAATTATAGATTGTAATTTTAAGTTAATTCGCAGGGCGATTTATTTCCTTAATTAGCAGATTGTGTTTTCCTTTTCTTTTCCTTCTTGTGTAGTATGGATTGGATTTAAATATTATTGAGAGTTATAGATAAATTTCTCTGTCTATAACCAATTTTATTCCCTCAAATTGGGGAAACTTACGCCTAATTTTTCGATTTTCTGGTATATACAAAACTAGGTTGTGCATTAACGACCCTAGTATTTCAGCCGCTAAAACTTTTCAGTCTTCCCACCTAAACATGTACATGCCAACTTTTTTCGCTCATAAATTGAAGTATTAACTTATATTTTATCAATGTCTTCATCTGTTGAATTAAACTCATTGCTCATATCATTTGCCTAAATTTTACTTATATGATTTTACACGAGCTGTGACAACAGTAATTTTTTTGAACAGCATGGTGGAAGTCTTGTTTGGATGTTAAAGCTATGCTTCATTTGACCTTTACTTGACAAAGCATTTGCTTTTCTTTCTTTTCCATTTTCTTTTGATTAGTTAGTGTTCATGTCCTTTTCTTTTGTTCTGGGCTGTGGGTGTGTAGGCAGTGGAGAGGAGCCATTTGTGTTACCGTTTGATTGAAGGTCTATTGTCGCTGACACTGTTGACAAATAAGTTATAAAAATTCTCTTTGATGTCTTTTATTAAGATCGATATTTCTTTTGGTAGTTATATTCTTTCGTAACAATGGTGTCTTTTGTTAAATGTTAAATGAATTTTAAGATGATTTGGAGACTGTTTCTGTCATGTATGGCCACAAGTCTAAGCTTTCAGTTGCAGGTGTTAAGGAATACATTGATGTATTGGTTGCTTGTTTAATATTTGAGATAAAATCAGGAATGAAATTAGCCAAAATAGTGGGGTAGAAAGCAGGGTTGGGTATCAGTGTCTTCTTCTCATTATGCTACTGCCACCCGAGCCTTCGAGGAATATTACAGTTTAAAAAATATGTTACAGTTCTGTCGTTCCCAGGTTCAGATTTAGTGGTTTGTGGTCATTATTTTCTTATTCATCCATTTATATGTACATATTGATGTCGTGGATTAGCGAATTGTTTGGCATGTAGCTGGTTTGGCAACCAACTGTATAACAGGTAAGCTTTGACTGATTAAACATGCACCTTTGAAATATCCAAGTTCTGTATCTTGAACCTCTAGGTTTTTGTTTAATCTTTGTATTTTTCGTGTATAGAGTGATTACATAAGGCATTTTTGTTCCTTTTTATAATTAAATTACGGAACATTAAGAAGCTTGGAGACTCTTTACAATGGGATTGTAAGAAATTAATTAGAAATAATAATTGAGAAATAATGTTGATGGACAAGATAAGAATCTCTGAAACATTTGTCTACACATGAATGTCAGTGATATTCTGTTTACATGGAGTGTGCCTATCAGCTAAAAATCTTATTAAAAAGTGTAGCATTTCAGGTATTGTACAAAATGGTACAAGATAGCATCACAACGAATCAATTCAACATGGTGGGATAGAGTATTGGCACCATTGAAGGAGTTGGAGTCAGGAGCAACTAGTGGAGTCATCAACTTAGAACAGGAAGCTTCAGTTGGTGAGGAGATGGAAGCATTGCGAGGAGCAGACCAATCAGGTCGGGAGTGCCTTTTGAAAACTAAACAATTATGTGGAGAATCAGAAGAGTGTAGTGACAAGGCTGCGGTGTCTTTGATGAAGAACTCTGTAGAAGCTTCCAGAAGCTCACTTGAAGATATGGAATTGGAAACTAGAGCACTGACTGAACCACTTCCTACCAATCAACAAGTATGACGAAATTTCACGTTGTTCCAATTTAGGTTCTTTAACTAACAGTTAACATGAATATAATTTCTAGGAGTATTTAATATATAGTTTTCTGGAATTCATTGTCCCAGGCCTACAAAAATCATCACTTGTATGCAATTGAAAGATGGCTTAAGAAGTATGAGATTATGTATCCTAAGGGACCCGTGTTGGGTTTTTGTTCTGGTCATCCTGTGTATCCTCGAACTTGTGTCCAAACACTTCATACAAAAGAAAGATGGCTGCGCGAGGGGTTGCAAGTGAAAGTTGATGAACTTCCTGCTAAGGTCTGATTTAGCATGGAATTTCATGTTTGAATAATGTATCAGTTTGATCAGTATCACTGTGTATAATTTATTTGTTTCATTCAGGTTCTGAAGCGCTCTCTTAATCGTAGTAAAGAACAAGCTCATGTAGATGATGAGTATTCTGAGGTCGATCCTGAAGGAACCGTTTCCCTCTATGGAAAGTGGCAGACAAAAAAATTGTGCCTTCCTCAAGCCATCAATGGGATTGTTCCTAAGGTAAATTTCTGGCTCTTAATATTTTGAAGTTAAAATTCATGTGGATAAATCTACCATATCATGATTTAAACATATATTATGATGTGACGTCGAACGTGGAAAAGTCCACAATATTTTGCGTTTCTTTCTTTTCTTTTATTATTATTATTATTATTATTATTATTATTATTATTATTATTATTATTATTATTATTATTATTTTGATCCAACATTTGATGATGTATTGTGTGGTTGGAGTGCTTCAACACCCGGCATTTCCCCCTCCGTGGGCTCAATTTTTCCTTTGAATGGGGTTGAATCGGTTAATTACATTGGATCTTCCTACTGATGTAGCATTTATCCAACATTTGTGGTGAATACAATTCATATCCAACCACAATTAAGACTTATCTTGTTGTTTTGGGACAATATAGTATGAAAATCCACAATTTTGATTTCTTATGTTCATCACTTGATTGTGAGACTAGTCTGCTATAATTTACTTTTCTTGGACATTCTAAAGGATGATTTTGTCTTTTAATTATTATCTTCTTGCCTTGATCTGGTTGGTTAATAAGTGAGCCGCAACTGAACTTTTATTTTTATTTCTAGAACGAACGTGGCCGTGTGGATGTGTGGTCTGAGAAGTGCCTTCCACCAGGCACCGTCCACTTGCGGTTGCCGAGGGTGGGTCTTGTGGCCAAGAGGCTGGATATCGACTATGCACCTGCTATGGTTGGATTTGAATTCAGAAATGGCCGGTCATTCCCAGTAGTTGAGGGTATTGTTGTTTGTGCTGAGTACAAGGATGCTATTCTAGAGGTAAATAAATAATTGTTTATTTTGGATTTCAATGTGTTGTCTGGCAATGGTACCGTGTTTCATGCTGAATTTGATGGAAACTTGTTTCTCAGGCATATGCAGAAGAAGAAGAGAGAAGAATGGCAGAAGAGAAAAGGAGGAATGAAGCACTAGCTCTTTCTAGGTGGTATCAACTTCTTTCTTCCATCATTACTCGGCAAAGGTTGAAGAACTGCTACGGGGATGGGGATTCATCACAGCCCTCCATTGACATCCCAATTCCGAATAATAAATCCTGTATACCTCCCAGTCGTACCAACCAAAAGAACGTGTCTCCCAGATGCCATCAAGTTAACACACCAGATGAAAAACATAATGCCCCTGCAACTGTACCTACACAAAATCACGAACATGAATTTATCATGGATGATCAGACTTTTGATGAAGAGAGTTCATTACGAGTGAAGAAATGTTGGTGTGGATTCTCAATACAGTTTGAGGAGTTATAGAACCTTTCCCCAAATAGTTCTGTTATTTTTTGATGTTGTATATGTTACTTCATACTAACCCAATGGAGCATAAAATGTCACTCTTGATTTCATTTGTGCTCTTCTTAGCCATTTGCCATTTTAATTTACGTGTTTTTGTTCGTGCCTTTACACTCCAATGCATCTGCCGATTCAAGATATAGGGATATTTCTCGCAACTTTTCTCCCACCATTTTTGTAGCTCGTCATTCGAAACCTAGCAAAGTATGCCCTCTTTGCATTCATCTTTTGCGAAAGAATTGGAATGCTATTCAAATTGCACTTCGGACAGTTGTTGCCTTGTTGGTGCCATTAAATCTTGGTAGAACAACATACTTTTCATCCCTAGTTAGTTCTTTGAACTGGGTTCAAGACAACCAATTATTTTAAAGGCACCCCCGAATGAGTCCTTGAGGAACAAAGCAATACATTTCATCATTCCGAACAAGCTCTCTACATCTTAGTTTCAGGTTTCTACGGAAACCCTTTTGTCATGAGCCGAGTTCTGTATTAGAGTTTGTACTGGGAGGGAGCTATTAGAAGAAAATAAGAGTTCGGGATTCTGACTTCTAATCAATTTGAGAGGCCCAATATATTTTCTTGGAATACAGGGATCAGATTCTTTGCCGAATGTAATGATTCGCAAAATTCTGGGATGGCATTGAAGTATTACACGATAATGGTTAAGGAAGAAATGGTTTCATAACTATACATTCGCATTCTTGGTTCAAGCCTGTAGGGCTATTTCTGATATGGATTGGTTAAACAGATTCATTATCACGTTCTCAAACTCTGGCGTGGCTGCAATTTGTTTGTTAAATTCTCTTCTGGGTGCTTATCTAATTTGTAGGCCATTAGGTGATGCATGGTCATTGTTCGATGGAAGTGCTCAAGAAGGATGTTTCATGGAGTACTTCAATATCAGGGCTTATTGAACAAATGTATTACGAAGCACTTCAAGTGTTCAGGGAAATGATTGCTGGTGATTGCCAAACGCGACCTAATGTTGCTACTATGATCTTGTTGGTTTGTGGTAATCTAGGATCCTTGGATCATACAAAGTGTTTTCATGATTTGCTAGAAAAGTCTGGATGGCTTGAATTGGATATCGCCATTGCTAGTTCACTCACAAATGCTTGTGCAGAGAGTGGAAGTATGAGATGTGCTGCAAGTGTTCAATGACATGCATGATTCAGAGAGGGATGTAGATTCTTGGACTGCAATTATATCAGAATATGCAATGCACGGGGAAGGAGTTAATGCTCTAAATCTATATTCTCAAATGATGCTATAACTTTCATCGCGACTCTTTCAGCTTGTGCACATTCAGGACAAGTTGAAGAAGGATTATGCATTTTTGTGTTTATGATATGGTTTTCTGAGTAGAGCTGGGATGCTCAAGCAAGCTTATAGTATTGTCCAAAAATGCCACTGATATCGAATCTGGCTATATTGGGATAACAATGTCAAGTTGGGGGAAACCATCCTGAAAAAGATCGAGCTAGTTAGTGAGAGAAGTGGGAGAGTCTCGTGCTACTATCAAATATATATCCAAAGGAGAACTGATGGAGAAAATTCAGTTACATTAGGATAGAAATGAGAGGAGTAATGCAAGAAAAACCCCCAGGTAGCAGCTGGATTCAAGTTGAAGATGTAGTCTATGAGTTTGTGATTGGAGAAAAATTTCATCCCCAAGCTATGGAGCTAGACATGGTTTTACAGGGATTGGAGAGCCTTGCTAAAATGTGATTTTACCTAAGAAAATCAACTATCAAATTCCTACTCTTGGTGAAGGGTATGCATTGTCACATTCTTATCTGAAAAAGTTATTTCACATTGTTTTCGTAAGTTTAGCCGGAAGCTTATCAACATTTTGTTCACATGTTTGCCCTATCAAATGATGATTCAAACTATCTGAAAATGGGAATGCATAAAATTTATCATCATAGTTTGTCTTCTAGTCATACGTTGTATGAATTCCAACTTCGGTGTGCTCCATTTAATAGTATGTTCTGGCCAATGATGCATCTCACTAAACTTCATGTCATGAGTAACAATGCTACTGTTTGTTGATATTTGAACAACAAATAGAGGAAAACAAAAAGATTGCATGGAATATTTTTCTTATTCATTTCATAACTCTTAAATAGAGTTTTATTTAACAGAAACACTTACAATATTTCTAAAACCAAGCCAATGAATTCAAAAATAAAACAGTAGTAACAATATCCTATAGACTAGGTCTTTTATCACCAGCTAAGCACCTTTATTCCAGCGTATTCGACATGTACAGCAACTTTTTATGGCAATTTGTTAACACTCCTCGTTGCCTTAATAGCTGTAGAGATCCAATTTGTTTCTTAACTCTTCAAATCCGACTTTGATAAGGATTTGGTAAAATATTCTGCCACTTGATTCTCAGTTCTGCAATAAAGCAGATTAACCTCCCCTTTTTTCTGCACTTTTCTTAGGTAATATAACTTAATGTTGAGGTGCTTAGTCTTCCAATGAAAAACATAATTATTTGCAATCAAAATTGCAGCTTGATTGTCTATATGAACCTGTGTAGGCTTATCCTGCTCTATATATAAATCTACAAGCAATTTTTTGATCCAGATTGCTTGATTCACCACAGTAATTGCTGCTACATACTCGGCTTCTACTGTACTTTGAGCCACTATATCTTGTTTCTTTGAACCCCATGAGAACATTCCTGATGTAAAATTGAAACAGAAACTAGTTGTACTCCTCATATCATCAATAGAACCGGCCCAGTCATTATCAGTAAATCCATGAAACATAAAATTCTAACAGTAACTGTATTTGATGCCATAGTTCATTGTCCCTTTGATACTCTCTTTGCAGCTTGAAAATGTACTTCATTGCCACCATGCAAGAATCTTGAAAGTAAACTCACAGCAAACATGATGTCAGGTCTGGTTGCTGTAAGATACATTAGGCAACCAATCAAGGTTCTGTAGAGTCCTTCGTCAACCTTGTTTGCTCCATCATTCTTGCTAAAATTCTCCTTTTAATTCAATGGTGTACTTGTACTCTTGCAATCTTCCATATGAAATTTTTTTAGTACTTCCTTTGCACATTTCTTTTGACATATGAAGACTCCTTCATGACTTTGCTTCACTTCCATTCCCAGAAAATAGGACATCAACCCAAGATCTGTCATCGCAGGCTTTGAGCATTTCAGCTTAAAATTCTTGTATCAGCTTTTTATCGCTGCCTGTTACAAGTAAATCATCAACATAAATAAAAAGTAAGATCACATTAGCATCTGCTCCTTTTATATACAAGGTGACCTCAATTGGACTTTTAACAAAGTGAAGAGTTTGCAAGTGTTCATCAATCTTGCTATACGAAGCTCTAGGAGCCTATTTAAGACTATACAATGCTTTCTTTAACAAGTGGACCTTCTCCTCGTCCTTTGACTTGAAAACCCTCGGCTGCTCTACAAATATCTCCTCCTGCAAATAACCATTTAAAAAGGCAAATTTTACATTCAAGTGGTAAACTTTCCATCCATTCAGTGCTGTCAAAGCTAGCAATATTTTGATTGTATCAAGTCGTGCTACTGGAGCAAAAGTCTTTGAGAAATCTACTCCAAACACTTGAGCATATCCTTTCACAGCTAATTTGGCTTTGCATTTGTTAACAGAACCATCTGTACTAAATTTGGTTCTATAAATCCATTTAACTTGTATAGGCTTTTTGTGTTGAGGTCTGGCTACCAACTTCTTGGTAACATTCTTTTCAATAATTCTGAGCTCCTCTTTCATCGTTTCAATCCACTTGTCATCCTTCTCCGCCTCTTTAAACTCCGGAGGCTCAAAAATAACAATATTACATCTTTCATAAATATCAGATAATAACCTTGTACCTCTGACTATTTCATCATCTATGTTATCACCAATGCTTTGTCGAATTTCTGACTGTTGCTTCTCTATTGACCCCTCACAATTCCATTGTCTATCTTCCATGAACTTGACATCTCTACTTACAAAATTTTTTCCATTTTGAGGTTGTAAAATCCTGTAAGCCTTGGATGAGCTGCTATCTCTAATAAAAACTTTCGATTTTGCCTTCTTGTCAAGTTTGTCTCTTTTCACCTGTGGCACATAAGAAAAATAGAGGCAACCAAAAGTTCTTAAATGTTGCAAGTCTACTTTTTAACCAAACCAAGTTTCAAATGGAGTTTTTCCTGCAGAACTTTGGTTGGCAGTTTATTCAGCAAAAAATCTACAGTGTTTGTGGCTTCTGCCCATAGTTTCTTTGGTAACTCATTTTTATGCAGCACACACCTTGTAATTTTCATAATGCTTCTGTTTTTCTTTCACTTCTAACGTTCTGTTGTGGAATGTACGATGTTGAGAACTGATGTTCAATACCTATTTTGTCATAGAATTTTTTGGAACTATCACAAGTGTATTCCTTCCAATTATCTGACCTTATTATCTGCATCCTGCAACCACTTTGATTCTCCACCCATGTTTTATAAGTCCAAAATACATTAGCAAACTCAAATTTAAATTTGATCAATAAATGCAATATAGTAGTATTGCCATTTAAAGAATATGTTTTTGAGGTTTTCCAACATCTGTGTGTACTAGGTGAAGCTTGCGTGTTGCTCTCCATGTAGTTTGAGAGAAAGGTCTTCTAATTTGTTTGCCATATTTACAAGCCACACAATTAGATAATCTATCTTCCAGCACTGGTAGCCCTTCACCAGATTGTGTTTCTGCATATATAGAAGTCCAGTATGATGGAAATGCCATAATTCTTCATTGCTTGCCCTGCTTGGAAATGCTGTTTGCTCCTCCGCCATTAGATTCAAAGAAAAACTTTTTGCTCTCATTTTTACCTTAAATACATCTCTACATTTTGCATCTTTGATCATGCACCATTTATCTTCAAATATGACTTTGAAACTTTTCTCAATTAGCTGTCCAACACTAAGCAGGTTTTGGTCAATGTCGAGTACATATAAAACATCAGTGATATACTTCAAACCTGATAAACTTTTTATAGCCACAGTTTCTTTGCCCTTGACTGAGATGTATTCACCATTTCTAGTTTTTACTTTGGAAATAATAGTTTTTCAAGCTCCTTGAAGAGCTCCCGGTCATTGGTCATGTGGTGTGTGCAACCATTATCAATCAACCAAGATCACTAGAGCTATTGCTTGTTGCAAAACATGTTTCAACAAACAGCTACTCCTCTTGATGTTCCTCAACAACAACATTTACTTTACCTTCGTGTTGTTGTGACCTGCAGATCCTCTGCATGTGTCCAGTTTGTTCACATTTCCTGCATTTGATGTCAGGTCTCCACGAGCACTTTCTTTGAGGATTTTTTTTTCTTGCAATATGGACATGATGGATAAGTCTCCTCTTTCTTGGCTTCCAGCTTGTTGAATTTTCTGGTTTCTTGTATTTTTTGTTATATTTCTTGTCTTTGCCTTCTCCTGAGTTTTGTGCTTTTGCATGAAAAACACCCTGCACAGTTTCTTCTTGTCTCATCAATCTACTTTGCTCTAGTGCCTACAAGACATTCACTAATTCTTCCAAGGAAATAGTTGATAAGTCCTTTGACTCTTCTAATGAGAATATCTTGGACTCATATTTTTCAGGCACAATGACAAGTACTTTTTACACAATTCTTTCATCAGGAAAATCCTTACCAAGTAGCCGTACCTTATTTACAATGTTCGGCAACTTTTCAGCATAATCTTTGATGTTTTGTGTCTCCTTCATTCTCTACATTTCGAATTCTCTAATCAAGTTAAGCACCTACATGCCTTTGGTTCTTTGGCTGCCTTGGTATTCTGATTTGAGATAATCCCAGATGTCCTTTGCAGATTCCATTTTCATGATCCTCGTCATTATTGAGCTTGATACAGCAGAGAATAGGCAGATTTTAGCTTTAGACTTCCTTGTCTTTTTTTCTTTGTGAATCGTCATCGTAGGATTTGCAGGTAGTGGAGGAATGTCTTAATCTTCCTCTACAACCTCCCAAAGATCTAATGCTTCAAGATGAACTGTCATTCTTACAGCCCAAGCTAGTAATTATCACCATCAAAAACTAGTGGTGTAATATGTGTGAAATTGATCTCGAATTCCATGCTTGGCAAGTGTTTATGTTTCAGGTTTTGTGTTTGTGAGCTTACTTAACTCACAGATCCCTCAAAAAAATTGCTATGATACCAATTTGTTGTTATTTGAACAACAAAATAGAGGAAAACAAAAAGACTGCAGGGAATTTATTCTTATTCATTTCATAACTCTTAAATAGAGTTCTATTTAACAGAAACACTAACAATATTCCTAAAATCAAGCCAATGAATTCAAAAATAAAACAGTAATAACAAAATCCTATAATCTTGGTCTTTTAACAGCTACCATACTTAATCCACGATGTAAGTTGAAATGATTCGAATTATCTTAGGAACATATATGGTCATTCTTCTGTACTGCAATAATAAATCATGTTGCAGGGCTTCGAGCCAAGTTTCTAACACAGATTTCTACACACTTCAAATCACAGAGATGCTACAGAATTTCTTGGAGAAGAACCACTCTTTTATCTCCCTTCTTCATGAAGCATAAGCAATGGTTCAGAAACTCCTTATCTGGTTTAAGACTTTGTAGCCTCCGGTATACGTGATGGAGCTCCTCTTGGATGGAGAGCTCATTCAGTTTCAATTCAGATCCACTGAATCTACAGTTATTCATCCTAGTTGGCTGGTTATTGATCTCCACTTGATTCAGTTCTCCTTCTACCTATTCAGTATCAGCTGCATCAAGAAGTGGGAGGAGTCTCTTTGCCTGTCTAAAGGATTTCTCTTCCAAAAACATCAAAATACATATCCAATGTCCTATTTTATTAAGGACTGAAAACCATAAGTCTCATTGTCTACTTCACATTTATGCATGTGAAATTCTCAACTGATTATATATCTGTAGAATACTGTTGCTCATCATCACCCATTGCGAAAAGTTGGGCTTCCAAAGCCTTGAGATCTTAAGGATGCGTAGTCTCTCTTCAAGATCTGCTAGGGTTATGTCATGTACACTCGAGTAGATATTGTATTCCAAATGCATATTTAGTTGAGCTTTTAATACAGCTCTTATATTTACTCTTGTCAAAGACTCGTCATCAACTTCGATCTTGCTGATTATACTTCCATCTATATAAACAAATAGACTAGAACATCTCTTATGTACACCAGGGTTTACATCTTCGTGTATATAATGTCTAAGTGGCATTTCATCATTAGCTGGTGAACAGTGCTTCATGCCTAATTCCATGTTCTCTAACATTAGCAGCTTCATAGCTAACAGGTGTAGAACATTCCAAAAGGCTTGAAGAGTAGGCATGGAGTATATGGATTTCTGCAAGCTCTCATCAAACAATAGGTCAATTTCAATATCTTAATAGCAAGTCCTTCACAGATATGATCATGGTAAGAGTTTGTGTGCTTGTTAGACCGCAATATATGATTTAGTTGAGAAGACCACGTGCAAGGTGGTTTAAGGCCAAAATAATTGGTGAATTTGCTAATCAAATTAGATAATAAATAGTTGAGAAGTATCAAAATCCACTCTCAAGGACTGCATAAAGTAGAATCACAATGGTTTTGTATCAATGGTGAATCTAGGAATTGGATCCAGCTAGGGCGGTCGGTAAAATGACATCATTTATTAAATATGATCGTGCATATTACTATATTGTCAATTTATTCTTAGAAATTGTTTCCACCATCCTTTTTTTTTCAATAGTTACTATAAAAAATTGGAATATATTTTCAATTAGCCAAGAATAGATTCCTGGTATAATGGACAAGATTTCAAATTTTGTTCATTCTTAATAAACAGAATATACAGATAGGGAGAGTCTGAACAGAAAATTCCAAGACACTAGACTCTAAGAATAAACTAAGTTTTGGATCCAATTCGAAAAAAAGGAAATACGAAGGCCAGATTCCCTTTGAAAATTGTAAGTTCTACCCATTATTAATGTATTTCATTTATATTCAAAAGCTATATAAAATTTGGGTCCAAAATTTCCAAATTGTTTAATAGGAGGAATTTCTATTTTCTTAAGAAATTAACATAAAAATAAAAAATAAAAAATCATGCACTAAGAAATTAGATTCCACCATAAATCACACACGAGGACTTTATTGTGAAATCATAACTCACAAATGATAATAAAAAAATGAATTAAAAGAACAAATAGAAGAAGAAGCAGACAGTCAGAGGTTCATGACACGAGGGCCACTGTGAAGATGACAACCGACAACAGGGCAAAGGTTCAGTGCTAGTGGTGAATGCGTTGCACGCAGTGATAGGGCAGTGGGAGGACGAGAGAAAGCTCAGTCACCAGTTTGGAAATTGCAAACTGGAATAGCCGAACAATTTGGGACTTGGATTACGAATTTAGGTAAAATGGATTTATATAAATTCCAATTGAAGTAGCCTGATCGTATTTCGGTCTAATTCCTTTTTTTTTCCAACAACATTAGACCCAAAAGAGAAGGTCCAAAATACTGAATAAAAAAAAAAATGGTCCAATCGTCTTAGTCCTTTCGGCTTTCATCTTCCTTCTTATTCCATCTGTGGTGGTTCAGGTTTGCAGTTTCTTCCTGGTGGGCTAGCTTCTTGACAATGACAGTAGATTCTGGCGGAGCCAGCACACGCGACCTCGCCCCCTCGCCTAGCGCTAGCTCTGCCATCAAGAAATTGAATTCCACCATAAAGCATACACGAGGCCTTTATTGTGAAATCATAACTCTTAAATGTAAATCAAAAAATGAATTAAAAGAACCAAAAAAAAAAAAAAATGGCAAGAGAGTCAGAGGCTCATGACACACGAGTCACTGTGAAGATGGCAACCGGCAACAGGGCAAAGGTTGAGTGTCGGTGGTGAGCACGTTGCACGCGGTGATAAGGCAGTGAGAGGATGGGAGAAAGCTCAATCACCGGTTTGGAAATTGCAAACTGGAATAGCCGAACAATTTGGGACTTGGATTAGGAATTTAGGTAAAATGGATTTATATTAGGGGAAAATTTCATAAGAAATTAATTATAGCACATTTTCAAAATAAGAAAATAAGTTTCAAATTTTTAAAATCAGATTTTTATTAAAAATTATTTATAATTTAATCAGTTAATTAATTATTTTATTAATTAAATATATTTAGGTCATGGATATATACAATTTGGTCACAAATTAACAATATAATTAATTATTTATTATTTTTTGATCACAAATCAAAAATTTTATGTCACAAATTTTTTTTACGTTCACAATTCAAAAATTTTGTAAGTCACAGTTTTTTCGTTGGTCACAAATTAAAAAATTAATTAGTCACGGATTAATTTTTAGTCACGACTTATCATATTATTGGTCACAACTTATTTTTCGGTCACAAATCAAAGAATTTATATGTCACAGAATATTTTTGGGTCACGAATCCAAAAATTTTATAGGTAAAAAATTAATTAGTCACGGATTAATTTTTAGTCACGACTTATCATATTATTGGTCACAACTTATTTTTCGGTCACAAATCAAAGAATTTATATGTCACAGAATATTTTTGGGTCACGAATCCAAAAATTTTATAGGTAAAAAATTAATTAGTCACGTATTAATTTTTAATCACGACTTATCATATTATTGGTCACAACTTATTTTTTGGTCACAAATCAAAGAATTTATATGTCACAGAATATTTTTGGGTCACGAATCCAAAAATTTTATAGGTAAAAAATTAATTAGTCACGGATTAATTTTTAGTCACGACTTATCATATTATTGGTCATAACTTATTTTTCGGTCACAAATCAAAGAATTTATGTCATAAAATATTTTTGGGTCACGAATCCAAAAATTTTATAGGTCACAGATTTGTTCGAGGTTACAAATCAAAATTTTGTAAGTTACAGATTACATTATTGATCACAAATTCAAAAAATAATAGGTCACATAATATTTTTGGGTCACGAATCTAAAAAATTTATAGGTCACAGATTTGTTCGAGGTCACAAATCAAAATTTTATAAGTCACAGATCACATTATTAATCACAAATTCAAAAAATTATAGTTCGCAGAATATTTTTGGGTCATGAATCCAAAAATTTTATAGGTCATAGATTTGTTCGAGGTCACAAATCAAAGAATTTATAGGTCACAGAATATTTTTGGGTCACAAATCCAAAAATTTTATAGATCACAGATTTGTTCGAGGTCACAAATCAAAATTTTGTAAGTCACAGATTATATCATTGATCACAAATTCAAAAAAACTATAGGTCACAGAATATTTTTCGGTCACGAATCAAAATTATAGGTCACAGCACCGCATACACCACCACTCTACAGCCACCACCACTGCACCACCACCATCAACACTTATGACCACCATCTCACTGCTGCCTCCAGAACCACCACCACCATCGTCGTCATCAGAACCACCACCACTTCCCGATAGTTGGTCGTAAAACCCCCGAGGTCACAAACACTTTCATACCACACCGCCACCACAACCGCAACAACCACCACCACGCCACTGCTACCAAATGCTCAAACTATCATCAACCAAAGAACACCCTAAAAACCACCTCCACCACCATCATCGCCTCAGTTATCATCAATCTAATAATTACCATTCTCGAAACAATCTGCATACTTTGACAGATGCAGTTGCTACACTTTTTATGTCAGCAGCCCTCAGTCTCTGAGTATTCAATATGGCTTGTTCATTCTCAAACTTTGTCAACTTAATGAAAGCTGATCCTAATGCTCCCATTGTATCCCCCATATCTTGCTGGGCTTTAACCAATGTCTCAGCCTAACATTTTAAAACACCAAATTAATCTTCCAAGAGCAGTTCTCTATAACATTGGACACAAAATTAAAATTTGAATTTATCTGTACATTTGTTATGCATAAAATTGTCAAATTTGACATGCATGAGTATGCTAATCATCATGTACTAAATAAAACAAAACAAAACAAATATTAACTAGTGATACAAATGTTGACGAAACCTGTTTAGATGCATCAGTGAGTTGCTCCTCGAGACCACGCAATTTCTCCTTCTTCTCCAAGAACTCCTTATTCTCCTCCTCCACAGGTTGCTTTGACCCGCCCCAATCATTCACAACTGACTGCTTCAACTCCTTGAACAACCTCAGCAAATCTCTCCCACCCTTGGTCGGCTGCACCACATCCTACAGCTCAATCATGCTCCTTGACTCTCTCAGCAACTGCTTAGGCAGCCTAGCCGCTCCGTCAAGCATCCTTGACGCCACATCAATGCTCGGAGGCAGTGGCATCCTCCCCTGAACCGTCAAAAACACCCTCAACTCATCGCTTTTCTTAATCATCGGGTGCTCTGTGAGCTTCTTCAAGTACTTCTCCAATGCCAATGTTCTCTGCTCCACAAAATCTTGCTTTTGCATGACCTGACTCACCACTATGCTTTTATCCGGCCGTGGCGGAATGAAAAGTCCTCTGTAACTTTCATTCAAGCGATCCGAGAGTATAACAACGTCCTTGAACCTTCTTCGGTCTCTAAAATCAGAATACCATAATCTGGAATATTCGAATTCGTGGTAATCAAATAAGTAACAAATGTGTTGCCACCTGGAACAATCGAATTGGAGGATTCCGACTCTTTTTGGGGATCGGAAACAGTGACGTTCAAATACTCTGAGCTGGTTTTTCTTGATTTTTGCAGAATTGTCAATTCATCAATAATTTCTCCGGGTTCGGAAGTAGAGGATATGGCCAACCCGTCATCCAGAGGGCTGAAGATGACATCAACATATGATTCGGTGGAGGGATTGTCAGGTAGAAACAGGAGGGGATCGGAGATGGTCCGTTCTTCCGCCGCAGCCGGCAATTGGGAGTTCTCCAACGAGGATGAGATTTGGGGGAGAGAGAGAGTGACTGGCGTCCCCGGTTATGAATGAGAGAGAAATTATTGAAAAGGAAATAGGGATTTTGCGGGAGCGGGGGTGGAGAGGATAATTAAATATAATTAATTAATTACCATAAATTAGATTACAATATTTCTGATTTTTGAAAGATTAAAGTACCAATCTGTTTTGAGAAATGAGGATTTTAATAATAGGGTTTCTAAGTATTCCAATTGAAGCAGCTTGATTGTATTTGGGCCTAATTTTTTTTCTCTTCGTAAACAACATTAGACCCAAAAGAAAGGCCCAAAAAACTGAATAAAAAAAATGGCCCAATCTTTTTATTCCTTTCATCTTCTTGTTCATCTGGTGGCGGTTCAGGTTTCAAGTTTCTTCCTTGCCGGCTAGCTTCCTGATGGCGACAATAGATTCTGGCGTAGCCAACACGAACGGCAGTGCCCCTTCATCGGGTGATGGCTTCGCCACTGTTTTGCCAGTATCCTTATTATGCAATATTGTTGCCAACTTCTTGTCTTTCATGAATGTTTCTTGGCTATCTTGTAAGTGACTTATGCATCATGGCACACGACACAACTACTTGTATGAATGGGAGAGGGAGGGGAAGTTGGTGTGAAGTTGTGTGCTTAGGAAAGCTTAGATCATATAAGTTATACCATGGTGCCTTGTCCGCTTGTAGCATTGGTTCATTTAAAAACTGGAGCAAATTAACACAATTGATAGTGTTCACTAATATATTTATCTTAAATAGCTTAAACTTTTTAAATAAGTGCTTCAAATAAATGACTAGCGAGCTGTTTTCATCCCAAGTGATCCTCTATTATTCAAACCACTTTTACAAAAGCTAGGCAATTCTCAAAGGAAAAAAAAAAATAATAATAATAATAATAAGAAGAAGAAGAAGAAGAAGAAGAAGAAATAAGAAAAAGAAAGAAACAAGGGAGTTGATATTAATTATTCACTTCAAACACATCCTTACGGAAAATTGGCGCAAATGGTTGTCCATCTTGCATTTTTTGTCCAAACCTTCAAATTATGGTACAACGATCTCGAATATTTGAATTCTTGGCACAATTGGTCCTTTTGCTGAAAAAATGAAGGGAATCTAAGAATATATGCTTCAGAGTCGATTCAAAGAGGGAATTAGCCTCAAATTTGATGAACTTTTCATAAAAGTATTGCATAGTTGCATCTTATTATTTTGTATAGTACTACACTGTTATAAGCTGGCAACAATGGGAAGCATGGTGGAAAGGCATAAAATGGAGATCAAAAGTGTGGATCAAATTAAGGGAACATGATGCTTGCTATCTTTCTGCTTCATGTCTCTCACTGCAGGGCTCTTTTCTAAGGTTACATTACATTTCTCTCCAAGCGGATATGTGTTACGAGTTCCTCTTTTATTTATTTTTTATTTTTTATTTTTTTCCCTCTCTTTATTTAGTTATATTCTATTCTATTCTCCAATAAATGTAGTGATTTTTTCGGATAGAATTGTGTAAAGTAGTTCACATAACTAAAACTCAAATTTATTGTGAACAAAATAGTTATAGCATGTTTGGCTGGGCCTAAAAGAAAAAAAATAAATAAATAAAGAAGAAGAAGAAGAAGGAGAAGCAAAAATTGGCTTTCTCCTTCTAAAACATGGAATTTAGGTACTTCCCAAAGACACAGAAAAGGGTACTTGATAATAGTTCAACATAGCATCAGTTACCAAAAGCCTACAGAGTAATATCACATTGGGTCAGCACAGGGCAATAAGAGAAGGCCTACACAACAAACAATATAGTTATTTTCTCTATCAGTTTTTCTTTTTCTATTCTTTCTTTAGGAATTAATCTTGAACTCGTATCAGGAAAACTTAGGAGAGAAAAAAAAAAACACACACACACACACACACACAAAATAATATACCAAAAGATTAAGTACGACAGTTATTTTTGAGAACAACTGTTAACCAAGAAATATCCATATTTGAAAAATGCAAAAAACCAACTCTGAAAAGTGTTGATGTTCTAAAACTGCCAGAAAAATAATCATCCTAAACTAGATCTGGTCACTTCATATGCCAAGAAGCATGTTGCGTGTGCAGGCACACTGCGGGCCATTGCAGGCCCAAATCCCTTGTAGAGGCCTTTCACTCCAGATGATGCCAAGATATTCTTAAGTGCATCAACTGAGCCCCTGAACTTTGGATTCTTGTAATCGTCAACCTGAATTGCGCTCTTGACAACGTCAGCCGGGTAAACAGAAATCCAGTATGCAGCTCCAGCTAAGCCTCCAGCTGCCATTAGCGATCCTCTTCCCAAATTAGAAGTGTCATGGCCTCCAGCAAGAAACTGCTTCAGAGCTTCATAGACACCAAACATAGCAGCATTTCCTGGTCCTTCACGTGCCATGGTAGGAACCAAACCCTTGAACAGACCCATTGCACCTCCTTCAAACTTGATTACATTTCTTGCCACATCCATTGGTCCACTATATTTAATAGCAACAGCAGCAGAGCCAGAGGTCGCCAATGCACTCTGGGCTTGTAATCTGCATGAACGTAATTATTCGAATCTTAGTTGCATATTTCTTATAGGAAAACATGCTAACCAGCTACAACTCATTTTGATTTTATTTGTGGTGTTTAACATGTTCTATTATATCATTATCAGTAATGAGGTTTACCTTATATTATCACTAGATACTCTTCTACTGACATTGACATAGCCCACCTTTTCAGAATAAAATATTAAATAATAGATTACTTTCAAGATTAAAATCTAAAATCCTTAATTAAATTTCATGGTAAAATGATTCGCCCATAGAAATTTCTGTTAAAAAGCATAGCATGTAGTGCAGAGGTTAAGAGATAGTCAGCAGGTATTTATATTTTCTAAACGATTTTTTTTTTTTTTTCTGTTTTATTTGTGTAGTGAGTGTGTGATGTGATTCTGGAAACTCCAAATCGTTTAGTCCAATATGTTGTAGGCTACAATAGTATAGTCATCAGCTTAAGCAAGAAATAGCACCCGGTCATGGTTCAGATAAAGATTGCAGCAAACATTTTCCAAAATTGAAAAAACTGACCTGCACTTGATCAATTCAGTTGGGCAGACCAGAAAGGACACAGCAACTCCAGCTCCAGCTCCACAAAGGACCTGCTGGTTCACTGTAAGAGGAACACCAGGTTCGGACCTCAACAGTGCTTCTATTTGACCCCGAACACTGAAGAGAAATGCATTCAAGGCAGCTACAGTGGCAAGTGGGGCCCCCATGCCTTTATACAAACCCCTTGGACCTTCTGCAGCTACTGTTTGTTTGACAGCATCCATGGCACCCGAGTATTTGGGAGGTTGACCAGGAAGTGGTGCAGGCTGGCTTTGGAGCTTTACCTTTATAGTATCAAAAGGGTGCCCACATATCAATTGTACTGCCCCTCCAACAGTTCCAGCAGTCAGATCTTTAGCTACATCAGCCATCTGAAAATTTTATAATATAATAATGTTGGTGTGAGAAACAAAAGAGAAACCATTAAGATTCATATATTTGACATAACTCTATGATCTGAGAATTGTGGAAGACATAAACCAGAAATATCTCCAATTGATTCACAAAATTGGTTGCAGCTGCTTCATAAATCAACATTTAAGCTTACATATCCAATCTATATCTGTTGCTGATAATTTTCTTTCCTAATTTGAAATGTATTACTAATACTCCGTTACGAGCATGCTTGGCTAGCTTCTTTCCTTCTTTCTACAGAAGAAGCAACTCCTTTTTTTTTCCAAAATTAGCTAAAAAAATGTCTTCTCTTGGCAGTAAGAACCTCTTACTTCCAAACAAACCAAGTTTTGGCAACTTTTGCAGCATTTCATCTAACAAATTCGCTCTAAATCACCAACTATGTTGATGGTTAATCTTTGGGGATGTCATCAATTAGATTACCATAACTGCTTAATTTTATTTTACTTATTTTTTTTTTTATAGGTAATCAAATATTTTATTAATCATGGATAATACGTAGGAAGTGTATTATCAATTAATACAAGACAAAAATGACATGAAATTGGACAATCCGTCTACGCAAGTAATACCCACGGCATTAAACTAAGTATACAATGTCAAATAAAACAATTCTTTAATCTGCTCTGTTGTTCGTGTATTATCGTCAAAACAACAACTATTTCTCTCTCTCCACATACACCAGACGATGCATCTTGGGACAAGGTCCCAAAAAATCTTGCTATTTTTATTACGAAATCTTCTCCCCCATGCCTTCAAAACATTCTCCATACGTAGTGAAAACACCCAATCCATGTGTTGAGAAGCCAAAATATCATTCCGTAGGGTACGAGCACCGTCACAATGAAGGAACAAGTGGTTAATCGTCTCTCCATTCATCTGACACATATAGCACCATTCCGTAACATAAAAGCCCCTACATCGAAGGTTATCCAACGTTAATATCTGTCATCTTACAACCGTCCATAGTAAAAATGCCACCCGAGAGAGCAGTTTACAACGCCATACATTCTTTCATGGGAATGAACTCTCCCCAGGTTCCAATAAAGATCTAAAATAAGAGCTTATTGAGAAAATGTCATCGCATGCCAACCTCCATCTGCTACGATAACTTTCGCCCACTTTGACGTGCACCTCATATAAAGAGGTCAGGAGTAGCGCATAATCATCCAATTCCCAGTCCTGTAGACCCCTCCCAAAAGCGAAGTTCCAGCTGGGATTTCCATTATACACATGTAAGACTTCATTCACCCTAACCTACGACATCATAGTAATACGATACAGGGAAAAATACTCCGCTCTTAATGGCCGATCTTTAAACCAACAATCTTCCCAGAATCTGATAGTATTGTCATTCCCCACCTCATATATCAATCTATCTTGAAATTCTCTCCACCCTCATCGTATATACCTCTACAAACTCACCCTATAAGAACGACAATTCTCGGCTGAGCACCATCCCCCCTCTAGAACACCATATTTCGCCTCTATAATTTCTCTCCAAAAACTCTCCCTCTTCACACCAAATCGTCACAACCACTTACCCAGCAAAGCCTTATTAAACAATACAAGACTCCTCAATCTGAGGCCCCCTGTTTTTATGGGAGAACACACTACGCCCCAGTTAACCATGAAGTTTCCTCTCCTCCCCTAAACCTCCCCATAGAAACTCCCTTTGAATCCCCTCTAATATTTTTGCTACTGAAACGGGAATAGAAAACAATGACAAGAAGTGGGGGAGATTCGATAGAGTGCACTTGATGAGTGTAAGACGACTTCCCTTTGAAAGTTACATACGCTTCCAACCTGCTAACCTCCTCTCCACCCTTTCCACAATACTATTCCAAATGTGTACGTTTTTAAACCATGCTCCTAAGGGGAGCCCAAGATAGGACATAAGCAGTTGCGCAATCCTGCAACCCAATATAGCCGCCAACTCCTCCACATTAGCGACATCCCCAATTGTGATGACCTCAGATTTTCCCAAATTAATTTTCAATCCAAATACAGCTTCAAAGCATAGTAACAGACGACTCAAGTTCGTGAATTGCTCAGCATCTGCATCACAGAAGATTAATGTATCTTCTGCAAATAGCAAATGGGATACCTGTAACTGGTTAATCATAAAGCCCCTCAATAGACTTTCTCCCACAGCTTTCTCAAACATCCTACTTAAAACCTCCATAACAATGACAAACAATAATGGAGACAATAGATCCCCTTGTCTCAAACCTCTACTACTCCGAAAATAACTCTCAGGAGTGCCGTTTACCAAAACCGAATAGGAGACCGTAGATATATAAAACTGAATCCAACGACGCCACTTGTCCCCGAAGCCACATCGCCTGAGCATATACAAAAAGAATCCCCAATTCACGAGATCATAGGCTTTCTAAATATCAAGTTTACATAACATCCCTGGAATCCCTATACGTAGTCTCAAGTCAATACATTCATTTGCTATAAGTACAAAATCCAATATCTGGTGCCCTTTGACGAAGGCATTCTGAAATTTAGACACTACTTATTCCAACACCTCCTTTAATCTATTAGTTAGCGCCTTAGGAATAATCTTGTACACCCCGCTTACTAAGCCGATCGGATGAAATTCTTTAATATCTTATGCTTCCGATTTTTTTGGAATCAACACAATAAATATAGCATTAGAACTTCTCAAGAACCTGCCACACTTAAAGAAATAAGTAAAGACATCCACAATGTCCGATCGTACCACTTTCCAACAAGCCTTATAAAATGAGAATGAGAATCCGTCCGACCATGGTGCTTTATCATTATTCATGCTGAACACCACCTCCCTAATCTCTTCCTTCCCAAATAGTCTCTCTAACCAGCTTGCATCCTCCTCAGTAATAGTAGAGAAATCTAACTCCTCCAACTCGAGCCTCCAGTTAAACTGCTCACGATATAGGTTTTGATAGAAATTCACCATTTAGGTCCCAATACCTTGTGGATCTTCAAAAGTAACTCCATCTACCTCCAACATGGTGATAGAATTGTTACGCTTGTTAGAATTGGCGACTCTATGGAAAAACTGGATGCATTTATCACCCTCCTTCAACCACTTGACCCTGACCCCAAACTATTTCCTCCATCTCCACCAACCTCTCTAACTCTCTCCTTAATTCTCCATGCCTCTCCATCTCATCCCTTACCAATCCTTGACTCTCCTCCCTCTTATCCAGCTCCTCTATATCTAATATGCATTAGTTTTTACGCTAGTTAACATCTCCCACCGCCTCCTCATTCCACCACCTCCAGTTAATTTTTCTTATTGCTATCAGCTTTTCTATTTCTTGTTATTCAATTTTAAACCAATCAACTTCCTAAAATCTCTACCCATCCATTGTTGCTATTACGTAATTTAAGTATCATAATATGCTGGACTAAGGAAAGAAGTAAAATAGACTCTGACAAAATGAAAATTGGAAAACAATTTTTATTAGCACTGATTAACGTTAAAGACTAACTAGGAAACTAGAGTTACAATCAATCAATCAAATGAAACTAAAGAAAATAACATGTTATTTATTCAAATTTTTAAAATTACATTAAACTAGCACTATTAAATAGTTTCTCTCCCAAATGTAAAATCAATCAAATCAAACAGGCAATATATTTCCCTTCCCTCATACAATTATTACGTCAAATTATCTTAGTTAATGTTTGAGACCCCCTTTTTAGGAAATAAATTTCGTAATAATGATTATTATTATTATTTGGAGAATATGTGGTTAAAAATGTAGGGAAAATATTTGGGCTTATATGTAAATTTATTTTATTGAGATAATGTGTGATTGAAATTGAGTTTGGGAAAAAATGAGTTTTTAGAAGATGAGACTCAAAATAGGGGCTTAATGTTTTTTCTCCAAATCAAGAAAACAAGACAAATAGGACCCACGGTTACTTGTATATCTCATCTGATAAAAGCAAATAACAATGAAATTAAAAGCTGAGAAAAAGTATGTAACCAAAATTTGTACCCATCAGAGAAAATAACAGATAACATGGAATATTGTCACAAGGACATCTGCAAAAGAAATATGGAGATAAAGTATGATCTCTCTTTGATCACAAAAAGGCAGACATCAGTCAATAAAAAGACAGAAGTAAATAATATTGAACGTCTTTAGTATTATTCCCACACCGACTACAAAAGAGGAGTGAACATCAAATGTCAAAAGTGATTTATGACTTATGAGATTCAATTGATGTATCTTTTGTGTCACCAACATCAAAGCTCACTTCTCCATAATAATTGTTAAGGAGGTGAGCTCAAAACACTTGGGTCATCCTAATGTTCTTTGGAAGTACATTATCACCTAGAGTCGAGGTAAATGTACAAAACATATGAAAACATCGTTAAGACGAAGGGTAAGAAGCAATATCACTCCTACAATAGCACCCATAATGTCAAGCACACGTTATTGATTAAGTGGAATGCTTTAACAAATTAGAATCCATAAAGTCAAGGTATATCACTCTACAACTGCAATAAATCATGAATTACATCATGTTCCTCACTTGTATTAAGGACCACAAACATCATGAATAATTAAGAGCCTGTTTGGGAGAGATTTTTTCTCCAAAAAAATTGATTTTTTGACCGTTATTTTACTATTCCAACCGTCATATTTGACTTCTTCTCTCACAGGTGGACCCCACTTTTCTCCTAACGGTCAAAAAATCAATTCTCAAAATCACTCCCAAACAGGCTCTAAATATGATGATTTCAACCATTTCATAAAGCAATCCACCCATATTTTTTGTTGATGGTTGATATATAGCAAAAACTCAGAGGTCATAAAAAAAATTAGACATTCTTTCTAAGTAGCTACCTATCCATAATCATGGATTCCACTCTGAAAAAGGTTGAAAAAAAGGCCTTTCCATTTTCTCTCATTTCAATCACCGCAAGTTCGGTTCATCTACAAGACTCAATCAAAGTAGTTCGTCCCCCTTCTCAAGTTCCAAATGTCAGCTCCTTCACTTAGGTGATACATTTATCATCTAACTGCAATGCACCAATAAAGCTGAAGTATGGGGAAAGCTGTGACAAACTGTACCACACAACCTCAGGACTTATAATGAAGGCATAAATCAATCCCAATACTTAAATATTTTATATCATAAGATTCATCTAGCATGGAACACGTGACATTAATGCATTTAAGATCTTTCAAATGAAACGATGAGATGGCATCACTTGAAATCTTCAGAATCATGAGGATAATGGAGAGCTAATTTTCATTTTTTAGAGAATTATAAGTGATCTCTGTAATTCCAAAAGTCTGAATCACTGTCAAATTTTGACTTCAAATGAACAAGCATGAGAGGAAAACAATTCACACTTATTAGAAGTGCAAGTTGCAAACAGCAAACCTAAAACTAATACAAAAACAAATAAAGATGCTTTTCGTCCTCTAAGGCAATGTGCAGTGATAACATATTGAGAAATCGAAAACCCAATAAAAAACAGTTCTACTACCTCTAGTACCGTATTAATCTAGGGTAAGCTCAGTAACTCCATTAGAGGTTTATCCCGGTTATTATGGCTTTCCCCTAGCTAGGTCTATTATCAAGGTACTTTTCAAAATATTGTCAAGAATCATCACATCACAAGAGACAAGAGGTCTGTCTTCAACCATGTCTCCTCTGAAATCCATGTTTCCCAATCCATACCAGCTTTAATAGAAAATAGTATATGAAGTTGTTCCGTCTAGATCAACATGAAAAATACCTTGATTTTCAACGCTACATTCCCGTACAAATATGTCTACAGTATTTCTAGTTTATTCATTCGTTGACAGATGTTGATAAAGTGGAAGGATAACTCCAAGTGAGATCACAGTACAGTAGCCTCCAAGTATCCTACTTGTTCTCTTCTGCTTCTCTTGTGAACAAGAATAATATACGACACTTACACCCTTTGTACATTATTTACTCAAGATACTTAAGATTCAGTGACTATATGCATCATATATTAATATAACCATAAGAATATGATAACAAACGGCTATTTAACCCAGTCTCTTCAACCCTATTGCATAAAAAATATATATATCATGTATATTACTGCTCAACATAATTCCCTTGAACACTTTTGGTCTACAGTCATTCAACAATCATTTTAGCTTCGCCACACTTATAATTCTTATTATTTGCCAATCGAGATTCAAGATTCAATCAATTGGTCCGAAATAAGATAATAATCTGCATACAATGTGTGCATATATAAATCAATTCATAGATTCAACACCAGGCATCACATCTGAGAACGATTTGCCCAAGGATATCTTTTCATTCCTTAAGAAAGTTTCAAACTTCCGTGCATTTAGCACAACTTCAACGGAATCAAATACACACAATGACCTACAACTGAAAGCAGTACAATACCAACACATATGATTAAAATTATATCATTCATATATCTTAGCTAGAAACATACCGTGCCCGGTTCCTTTTAATCCCAGATGAGACTTGAAGCCGATGGACAACAAATAAATCAGATCCCTTCTACCAGAATCCCAAGCAAAGCAATCTGAGATTTACATCGCATATAAAAATATTCATATCTATTGAGAACAAAATCGTAAAATAAACAACCAAAAAGGGTATTAATTTATTTCCGTTTCAAGCATATTAAAATCAAAAGATAAGCTATTGATAGCCTGTCCAAATCGGCATGTTGGACGATGATATATTTGTTTATCGCAGTCTACAGGGCAGTCTGTATAAGCGTTACAGTTTACAGAAATTATTGCAATAAAAGGGGTAGGTGAAGAAGAGCCACATGACTGAAATCTACAGAAATAAGAATCAGAGAGAGAACGAAACCATTGAAGGTGATGCCAAGAGCCAATCTTGTAGAATTTTAGAGTTGATAGGTTTGGATGAATTTCATTGAGAGTGCTGTGCGTACCAGACTATCAGACTGTGATCCAATTGAAAGGATCTTTGGTCGGTGATTTCTCCCAGATTATGAAACCGTTTGTTTGAACCAAATTTGACTTTTTCTTTAACAAATATAAATGCGAGCGGAGACGAGGCATTTTTTTTTTTTTTTTTTTAACTGCTATTTCCATCCTCATTTTTTATAAGTATATTCACTTTTAAAAATAATTTTTTATTATATTTTAAATGCTATGTAAATTTTCTTAAATAGACATAAACAAAATTAAATAAAACTACAAAACTCTAAATTGATCCACTAATTTTTACTTTTATTAAATTATCAATCTTTTTTTTTATTCTTTTAGAATTTGTGTTTAACTAGAATATTAATAGATTAAGAAAAATTACATGAATATAATTAGGGAAAATTAGGCAATACTCTAATCAATGTCGTTTATTTATTTAATAAGTTTCGTTAATGAATCTCTGTGATATATATGAACTTCAACTGGACAATTCTACAAGGTGTTTGTCAACACACAATGCAGAGCCCAGAAAAGAAGAGTTGTCTTACACTCCCAGCAATTTGCTTATAGAATTGATTTGAAGATGTGACAGAGGAAAACGTTGGAATTGCTAAGGATGTGACCGAATTGATTGGTAAAACCCCATTGGTATACCTGAATAATATTGTTGATGGTTGCGTCGCGCGTGTTGCGGCCAAGCTAAAATCTATGGAGCCTTTCTCTAGTGTTAAGGATAGAATTGGTTATAGCATGATTTCAGATGCTGAGGCAAAAGGTCTTATCAAACTTGGGGAGAGTGTCCGTATTGAACCTACAAGTGGTAACACTGTCATAAGCTTGGCATTCATGGCAGCAGCAAAGGGATACAGGCTTGTCATTACGATGCCTTCAATTCTCATTGGTTTTGGTGCTGAAGTGGTGCTCACTGACCCCGCAAAGGGAATGAAAGGTGTTGTTCAGAAAGTTGAAGAGATACGAAACAAGACACATAACTCCTATATTCTTTAGTAGTTTGAAAATCCTGCCAACCCGAAGATACGTTATGAAACCATTGGACCAGAGATCTGGAAAGGGTCGAACGGAAAAATTGATGCTTTTGTTTCTGGAATTGGTACTGGAGGAACGATCACTAGTGCAGGAAAGTTCCTTAAAAAGCAGAACCCTGATATAAAGCTGTTTGGTGTGGAACCAATTGAAAGTCCTGTTCTCTCTAGAGGAAAACCTAGTCCTCATAAGAATCAAGGAATTGGTGCTGGTTTTATTCCTGGGGTTTTGGAGGTTGATCTTATTGATGAAGTCATTCAAATTTTAAGCGATGAAGCCATAGAAACTGCAAAGCTTCTAAAATTGAAAGAAGGGTTGCTAGTGGGAGTATCATCTGATACTGCATCAACTGCTGTAATTAGGATTGCGAAGAGACCAGAGAATGTTGGAAAACTCATTACTGTGATCTTCCTGAGTTTTGGTTGTGCTTTTTGAATCCGTGAGGCGAGAGGCTGAGAACATGACTTTCGAGTAAAAGGTTTGTTGGCTTTTCGACCCCCCTAATGTTTGTCGCATCCTGTGTTTTTGTTATTTCAGTTTTCTTCAAATGTATCAGATGAAATTGTTGGAAATAATGTGACGCTTTCTTATAGACATAGGCTATGTCACATAGCATGAAGTGATGGGATTTTGCATTAAAATAAAAAAATGGGCAATCTGCAAATGTAAAAGAGTTACATTATTAACGTGGATGCAAATAGTATTTCTTAAATGTGGATATATGTTATTCAAATGAATGAATTTAGTAAGGATAAGATTGAAATATAACGTGGATGCAAATAATATTTTTTTTGAATTTTAAAATTTTATTAGGGATAAACTTAGAGTAAGATGTATTTATAAAAAGTGTGGATGGAAATAGCGCTACCCTTTTTTTCATCAAACAACACATTATTCAATAAAATTGTATTACAGACAAATTTAAATTTTTTTATTTTTTAATTATACATTCTTTGTCATAACACTTTTACAAAATGCATTTTTTGAAAACTAGTTAGAATTACAAATTCCTCTATTAATTACACCATAAACCTCGAAATTCAATTTGTCACTTTTTTGAGAATTTTTTTTTTAATTTTTTGTTTTGTTTTGTTTTATTTTTTGTTTTGTGATTTTGTCACTTTTTAAAATTTTTATCACTTATTTTGAATTTATGTCACTTTTTCGTTTAATAGTGTTTCCGTTTTCTTTTTATAAAACTGAGTTTTAATCGTACCGCATAAATATTAAATAAAAAGGAAATGATACGTTAGTTTTTATGAAAAAATAATATGATGCTTTTTTAATAGTGAAATATGTAACTTCTTTAAAAAAAAAAAATAATAATAAATTGATTTGCCCTTTTTTAAAAAAAATAAAATAAAAAGTGATATACACTTTGAATTTCATAAAATTATTGCCAAATTATTGCAAAGTGACGTGAATTTTGTCCTATTCTTGAGTTCGAATCCTAGTGAAGTGATAAAACTCCTCCATAGCGGACAATATATAAGTTCATGGCTTGACCATATCTTTCACGACTTTCTATTGTGTCACCAGGATTTTCATGCATTTTTTGTAACGATCATTGTTAACTTACATACCGCTCACTATGAGAGAGCCTAACCTATCTTACCCCTTTCACGACTTTGATCACATTAGCAGATCCAACTTAAATCTCTTATAAGATAGGAATATTGATTTCAAATCTTGGTGTCACGATAAAAAGTCGTGAGGGATAAGATGGGTTAGGAGTTTCCATAACGGACAATATATAAGTTGATGACTTGGATATAGAGATTGGGTTCTTATAAAATGTGTTCAAATTGATCATGGTGGTGAAAGAGCAAATGTGGTTGGGAGAGTTTGGATAGAGGTGGCAGCAGTAAGGGATTGCAGAATTGGATGTGTTGGGACACTGATTGAGATTGGTTCTTGAGCACTCTATGCAAATAAAAAGCTGTGTGTATAGGCATTGATTTAGTAAACCCTGCTTGGTGTAAAGGAATTTTTTACCAGAGCTTTTACAGGTACACATTTGATTAATTTTCATTGAGAGTTGAAAAAACAAAGAAGAAGAAACTACCAATAAAGGCTGCCATTTCAGCCTTGGAAACTACACCCTGGCAATTTGCCCAGTATAGGGGCAAAGATAAGAGCCCTCTTTTTGTTCATCTTCATGTTTGTTATAGTGTTATCTTTTGATGTTAGTTTCTTCATAACAGTGAGGTTATCTCACGTCTCGTTGGTAGTCGCAGTGTGGGGATTCGATTCCCGGACATGAAATCGGACTCCTTGTAAGTGCAGTGTACATGCAGCTCTTGTTCCTTAGCCTGTCGGGGCACATCCCACGATTTACCTCTCTCACAAAGTTCTAGGGGCGGGGCCATGGGGACCCTCAAGGTCGGGGTTTAACCCTTTTTTTTTTTTAACAATACCAATCAATCATCGCCACTGCTTCGATTCTCAAACAAATAAATTACTTGAAATTCGAAGATTAATAAAAGAATATAAAAAATATACTCCGCTTGTTCTCAAGATTTCATGAGTTAACAAGGCAAATAATTATAAACTATTATATTTCAATGGTTCAATCTCTTTCGACTTCCTCTTATCGTAGTTGTGCTTTGAACTAAATGTAGATGTGCACAAAATGCGCAAACATGACAACAAATTCTATCGAAAAGCCTTGAAAATGCTCATCTAGAATTTGAGCATTAAATGTTTGAATTTGTCCAAATGGAAAAGAGAAAAAATAGTTAATGGCGTCAGTGGAAACGGAAACCAAGTATGAGGATTAATGGAATAAACAATTGCATGAATTTGCAATCAAGGAGATTTCTTTGTTTAATTTGAGCGTTGCCACTAAAATTTCTCAAATGGTTTTCAATTGTCATCAAAAAATTTTAAATGTTCCTCAATTGCCATCTAATTTAAAAGTTCTTTCAAGTCGTCACTAAAATTTCACAAATATTTTTCAATTGTGATTGAACTATAAAAGCTCTCAAAGGTGTCACTAAACTTACTAAAATGTTATCTCACCCCATCAATCCATCATTCATCGTTTGGCTAGCTTGACAAATTCGGACAAAGAATTAAGACTTTGACCAAGGTATTACATATTGCTACCACGATTTTTTCTATTGCACCACAATTTTAAACTGGTATTCTATTTGCAAAGATAGTCACAACTAAATTGATTTAAAAGTTCAAGATAAAGATTGATTTAGGGAAAAAAAAAAAAAACATAGATTAATTGATTCAATGGCCGTAATTCAAGAAAACTCGATCTTTAATATAAAATTTAACAGCATTGTAAATGACTTATAATCTTCGAAAAATTTACCTATTTTTTCACAATTATTCTCTGTTTTCATAGCAAGCATCCCTTGCCCTCATTTATAAGTCTCTCAATCATTATAGTCAAAACATAGTACATGTAAACAAAGAAGAGGATGATGCTACACGCACATCAAGATGTTCATAACAGTGTTCACTCCCTCATAAGGAAGAAGACCCATTTCGAGTAAAATATAATTTATTCGAAATGGGACCCCTCTATGTGGGAGAGATGGACACATTTATGAATACCGCATTATGTACAAGTATCATATTCCTTTTATTTGTTATTTTTATTTTAGGAAAATAAATAGAGTGCATATTGTTTGCCTTGTTCCTGTCACCTTTCTCTTGTATCTCCTTGCGTGGTGAAATTTCATCAATATTTTGTTTCATTTCAAGTGCAATTACCCTATTAGATGCTATTGACAAAATTGACAACATCGACTTGCAAGGACATTAAAACCAAGATAGTTGCTATATGGGGTGGGGGGCCCTGGCCAAGTAGTTTTATTCTAAAATCGAATGGAGGGCCTCCCCAAGCAATTGTATTCTAAAATTGAAGGGAAATCAAAGGGATTGTCACGTAAGATCTATGTGGACCATGAAAATGTCATTAATCAAATTGATCGTACGACTTTTGATACCCGATTTCCTTAACTCCAAAGTCATTTTTCAATGTCATTCACGTGTTTACACTCCATAATTGTATGCCTTCAGCTGTTC